ATGCAGAGAAAGGGGAACCCGCTTACCACTGCTGGTGGGAATGCAAGCTGGTGCAGCCACTCTGGAAAACAGTATGGAAGCTCCTCAAAAAATTGAAAATAGAGTTACCCTATGACCCAGCAATTGCACTACTAGGGATTTACCCCAGAGATACAAATGTAGTAATCTGAAGGGGCACCTATACCCCAATGTTTATAGCAGCAATGTCCACAACAAACTATGGAAAGAGCCCAGATGTCAATTAACAGATGAATGGATAAAGAAGATATGGTATATATATATATACACACACACAATGGAATACTACTGAGTCATCAAAAAAATGAAATCTTGCCATTTGCAATGATGTGGATAGAACTTGAAGATATTATGCTAAGTGAAATAAGTCAGTCAGAGAAAGACAATTGTCATGTGATTTCATTCAAATGTGGAATTTAAGAAACAAAACAGGATCATAGGAAAAGGGAAGGAAAAATAAAACAAGACAAAATCAGAGAGGGAACGCCCGGGTGGCTCAGTCGTTAAGCGTCTGCGTTCGGCTCAGGTCGTGGTCCCAAATTCCTGGGATTGAGCCCCACATTGGGCTCCCTGCTCAGCGGGAAGCCTGCTTCTCCCTCTTCCACTCCCCCTGCTTGTGTTCCCTCTCTCGCTATGTCTCTCTCTGTCAATAAATAAGTAAAATCTTAAAAAAAAAAAAAGAAATTAGAGAGGAAGAACAAACTATAAGGGACTCTTAATCATAAGAAACAAACTGAAGGTTGCTGGGTTGGGGGATGGAGTTACTGGGTGATGGACATTGGGAAGGGCGCATGATGTAATGAGCAGTGGGTACTAGTGGGACTGATGAATCAATGAACTCTACCTCTGAAACTAATAATACATTATACTTAATTGAATTTAAAAAATAAATACTAAAAAAATGTATTCATTCTTTATAAAAATCTAATATAAGTTACTACTGTTAACATTTCTCAGACAACTCAAAGACTTTAGAACACTTTAACACCATTTATAACCCTCCCATCCTTTGTTTATTTGTGTATTTTAATTTTGAGGCTGTAGGTAGTCCTTGCTTTGCATGGTTCCAATATGCATAATATGAAGTTACCATTATTTAGTTAAATTTAAATAATAGCTGGTCCTGGCAACATAGTTCAAGTTGTGGCTACCATGATATATTAACTGTGAATAACTGCACAGAGTACAAACTTTGCTGTTAGCTCTTCAATATGTGCATCAATATGTAAATAACAAATGCATATCATGATAGGTGACCAATTATACCACTTCTTTCAAAGTCATTGGTGATTGGTCACTGAGCATCTGTTATTCAGTTGCCTCCTTGTCTTCCAGTGATAAACCCATATGACATTTTTTAGAAATGGATAATTGAAAGAGGGAACTGACCAGCTGAGATGAAAGAGCAGCAAAGAAACAGAATGTGATAATGCTGGAAGTGAAATTTGAATTATATGTAAATGGAGTCATAGGAGAAATAGCTGACCTCGTGAATGTTGATACTGCCACTGTTTGAGAGACTCTAGATATTCAATCAGAAGAACTTAGTGAAGGCAAATTATTGACATCAATGAGAAAAGTGGTTGCAAATAAAAGGATGAAGATGTCCCAAAATAAATGATGCTGATAAAAAAAATCACATTAAAGGAACTCTTAGAAATATTTTATGACATTGAAAGAGCAGAGAATTAAATTTTGGAAGCTGATCCAGATCTAGAAAGAAGTATGACAATTTGCCAAGACATTGATATGATGCTCTTGCAAGTTACATAGCAAAGAGAAAAAAGGCATGCACTGTTCAAACTATGCTTGATACGTTTTTTTTTTTTTTTTACAATGAAATAAAACATTTTAGTTCTAAATGTTTTTAAAGTTTAAAATTACAGTGTATTGGGGCACCTGGGTGGCTCAGTTGGTTAAGCGGCTGCCTTCGGCTCAGGTCATGATCCCTGGGTCCTGGGATCGAGCCCCACGTCCGCCTCCCTGCTCAGCGGAGAGCCTGCTTCTCCCTCTCCCTCTGCCTGCCACTCTGCCTACTTGTGTTCTCTCTCTATCTCTCTGTCAAATAAATAAATAAAATCTTTAAAAAAATAAATTTACAGTGTGTTAAATAAGTATCAGTTTACTATTTTTCCTTTCCCTATACATTTATAACCAATAGAAAGAAAGGTTTTACTGTTTTGATAAAAACTTTTAAAAGTCACAATCACAACTTTTTTCACTGATTATTAAGATCACTTTGCATAGTTTCAGCATGCAGTTTCATGATCCTGCACCATTATGCCGTGCAAGGATTGCCTATATTTTAAGCCCAGTAAGATATTTTTTGTTTTGTTTTGTGTAGCCAAGGTTCATTTTTATTTACCTTTTCTATTGTTTTTCATTTCCTTCTGTACTTCTGTACTACCATTTAGCATTATTTTCCTTTAATGTTAAAATTCCCTTTAGTAGGTTCTTAATATGAGCCTAATGGTAATGAATTCTCTTGATTGTTATTTGCTTGAAATGTCTTTCTTTTGCCTTTAATTTCAAAGAATACTTTTGGTGGGTTGGCAGGTATTTACCATTGTTATTTTTGTTGTTCTCATTGTAGGTATCTTTCTATTGATTTTTATGGATCCTATCTTTTCTGTTGAATGAATAATCAGCTATCAATCTTGTTGCTACTTCTTTGAAAGTTTGTGTGTATTCCCCCCCCTTGGATGCTTTTAATAATTTTCACTTTGTCTTTGGGTTTTTTTTTTTTTTAAAGATTTATTTATTTATTTTAGAGAGCATGCACGGGTGGGGGGAGGGGCAGAGGGGGGAGAGAGAGAGAAAGAGAAAGAGAGAGAGAGAGGAATCAGACTCCCCACTGAGTGGGGAGCCCAACATGGGGCTCGATCTCAGGACTCTGAGATCATGACCTAAGCCTAAACCAAGAGTTGGACCCTTAACTGACTGAGCCACCCAGGCACCCCTACTGTGCCATATATTTTTAAATTTTCTTTTTTCCTCCATGCTGCAGGCTGGATATATTCGTCTGACTTATCTTCCAGATTACTAATTTTCTTTTGAGCTGTGTCTAATCTGTTGTCAAACTCATGTGTTTAGATTTTATTTCAGTTATTGAATTTTTAAGTTCTTGTTTTGATTTGATCCTTTTTATAGTTTCTAATTCTATTTTGAAATTCTCTATCTTGTCTTTAAAATTTTGAATATCTTAATTTTAGTTACTTTAAAGTCTGTGCCTGATAACTCCAGTACTCCAATATTTGAATCTTCTGTAATCATTTTCTGTTGTTTGTTTTCTTCTCTTGATTTTTTTCCATATATTCTTGTTTTGTTTTGTTTTGTATGCCTGTTATTTTTATTGATTTAAAGCTAGGCTTTAGCCTTCATGAGGGCTGATCTATTTCCCATTATTCCATACTTCTGGGATGAAGCTTTTTAGGGATCCGAGTTAAAATCTTGTGATGTTTGTTTATGAAGGAGCCATCTTACTTTGTAAGCCCTGAACTCCAGTTTTTGGTTTGCTAGCCCTATGAGATTTCCTAAACTTCTGTTCAACATCAGTCTCTCAGTTATTGCTTATAATTCACAGAATACCTCAAGAGGAAAACAATCAAATGTTGTTTTTGGGATTTGCTTCTCTCCCCTTAAATCCACTTAAAGATTTTTTTCCCTATCTATCTTCTCTAGTTACTTTCAGATAATGATTGATCTGATGTAAGCTTGCCTACCATAGCTGGAAGTAACATTCTGAGCCTCAGTGTCCTTGAAAGCAGTATAATATAGAGAATAGGGTAAGAATTTTTGAGTAAGACATTTAAGGTATAAAAATTCTGCTCTTACCTCCTCATAACTGTGTGACTAAGGAAAACATACATATCCTCTATGAATTTATGTTTTTCTTATATAAATAATGGAAAAAAATAATCTCTACTTGATAGGTTTGTTTTTTGAGCCTTAAATGAGGGGGTTAAGTACAGAAAAAAATGTTTAGTATAACATCTAGAACATAGTAAGATTTCTTTTTAAAGATTTATTTGAGAGATAAAAAAGTAGAGGGAGGGGCAAAGGGAGAGAATCTTTCAAGCAGACTCCCCACTGAGTGCAGACCCTCATGGGGGGGCTCGATCTCATGACCCATGAGATCAGGACCTGAGCCAAAACCAAGAGTCAGACACTTAACTGACAGCCATCCAGGTGCCCCTAGAACATAGATAATATGTATTTTTGTTTTTTCAAGAAAATAATTAATATTTCATAGTATTTCATAAAATTAAATGACTGCTTAGAAGAATGTAATGTGATTATGTACAACTTTTAATTGATTGTAATGTACTAGAGAAATAAAAACAGAATAATTACTTATGAAGTGCACTGCCTGGTTTTAATGTGCTAGGCACAGGATTACATGCATTTTATCATTCAATATTTATACTAACCATATGAAGTTGAAGCTCTTATTACCCTTATTTTACAAATAAGGAATGTGAGACTAGGAAAGATTACATGATTGTGCAAGGTTAGGTAGTGAATGGGCAGAGAAGCCAGGGTTCAGATCTGATTCTAACCAACTCCAAGGCCAGAGTTCCTAAACCCACTTCTTTTCTAATCCCTTGAAACTACATTTCTCTTTCCTAATTGAGAGAAAATGTTAGATTTGCAGAATCTTGCACAGTCCTGGAATCAAGTCAGTAGTCAGTAATTATTTATTGACTCATCAACATCCACACCAATGAAATCTGCTGACACAGTAGTAATAGAATGAAATGACAATTTAAGAAGAGAACTTCTAGTTTTGTCTTTACCTTTCAACCATGGAAGTGGAATTTTGGATGGATTAACAAACTGTGAGAACCAGTTAAAAATTTAATCATAAATGGAAGTTTTGACCCATGGTCAAAAACCCAGCTGTTACAACCATCTAGAGCCCTAGAGTTATCAATCAAGACTGGCTATGGTGGAGTCTATGCTGCACTTTTCATTGTACTTACATGTGGGTCATTTTACTCAAATTGTAGAAGGAATGTGATTCCAGCCGCTGCAGAGTTGCATCTATTGACAAGTAGCTGAATGTCACAAAAATATAAAGCAAAGTAGAAAGTTAGTCAGGTTGTGAATGCCATACATATCTCAAACATTAATCTTAATAAAACTTCTTTGTCCAGGGCTTCTCAGATCAGGCAACATGATTTCTCCCTAATTATGTTAAAATTAGTTATGCTTTTTTCAGATCCCGTGATACCTGAAAGCTTCCCAATTCTTTAGGTCCTATTCATCTCTAAGGTTTCACTCAACTGATACTTCCTTCAGAAGCTTTTCCTGAATTTCCCAATTAGGTCAAATTTCCCCTAAGTATACCTCATTACACCAAGAACTCCTTTCACTAATTATCACAGTGCAACTGTCTTATTGTTTGGATAATATTTGATTTATGTTGTCTGATTAGGCTATATATTCTCTGAATTGGAGAACTGTGTCTGTTTTGGGTGGCCTTTGAATTTTGAGTGCCTTTCATAGTGTAAGGCATGTAGTAGACTCTCAATAAATGTGTTAAGGTAATGAATGAATGAGTGAATAGATGAGTTACTCAAAATAGCAGAAAATGAAAGACATTAGAAAAGAACACAAGAATTAAAAAAGAGGCATTATTAATGGAGTATGTGATAGCATGGGATTAGAAATACAGTTTCAGAGATGAGAAATCTATAATTCTTAGTGGAACATTCCATAGGGTGGTGACTACATATCCACTCAAGACTTTTCTTCTTTATTTTGATGAAGCAGAAAATTCAAGATTTGTCTTGAACTCTGTAAGCAAAAGATAACTCAAATAAAAGTTTTAAGTATGAAAAGAGAAAAGAGAAACTTCTAAGTACAACTTGTCAAGAATACATAGGGAATATTGTTTCGAAGAGTCTCCACAAATTCTATTCCTGAAATGAGAATGACTAATGCAGCCAAATTCAATGATTGTTTTTTATTGAGAGGCATCTCTGATATTTGGGAAAACTAAGAATTAATAAATGGTATCCACTTGTAGTCACAGCAGAGATTCTCAACCCTGGCCATAGAGTTGAACTACCCAGGAAGCTTCTAAAATTTACATATGTTCAAGACATAATCCAGGATAATTAAGTCAGAGTTTACGAGGGATGAGGTGCAAATACTTTTATTTTTAAAATGCTTCCTCAATGATTCCAATGTGCAGGCAGGGTTGAGGACCACTCATCTATAGTTTGAATTAAGTCTGTCAGCAAAATACTTTCATTAATACAATGTTTATGAGAGGAGTTCTGACTGTTCCATTTGAATTTCTGCCATGGTCATTGTGAATATTCTAATGGTCCTGTACTTTCTGTTTTGATTTATCTATTCTCCAAACAATTATCCTTTATCAGGTCCCCCAAGCCATTGCCACTTGTGGATAACATTATGTAAATTATTTTGATCCAAATATATCTTTAACGTAGTGGAAACAATGGAAGACATTGAAAAGATTAATTTATTGTGTAGAAATTGCAGAGATTTATAATGGATGAAGCTGAGCCATCTGAAGGACAAGATTAATTTTGAAGACTGCAAACTTGTTTTCCTAAATATTACGTCATACCTATTGCTCTAAATTTTCTACTGAATTTCTTAGTTTAGAAGGTGAAGTTTTCTCAAGGGGTTACTGGGATGGTCATTCTGCCCATGTCATAATAACTGAAGTTCCAGTTCTCCAAATAAATTATACATCCTCAAAGGGCTCTTACAGCTCAGATGTGAAGACAACATGTAGGAACCATTTATTCAGTGGGATGAAAGAAGTGATTCCCTGCTTGCTTATCCCATTTTTATAAACAAGAAAAATCAGATCCCACCTCTTCCTCAAATTTCTTCTTTAGCCTATAAGTCTTATGTAATCACTAGGGTGACCATATCATTTATCATCCAAACTAGGATATTTTTGTGAGTTACACAGGCTGCTATTAATAATTATACCTGAATAATAGGTGGAAATTTGTCCTGTCCCAGGCAAACCTATCTAGGATCACCCAAATGATTTCTCTCTTGCCCCCTAGACATACCAGATCTTTAACGATTACTTATGTATATCTGTGTGCTTTCATTCAACAGATATCTGTTGAATATTTACTCTATGTCAGTAAATGGGCATTGACAAAACAGATCTGTTCCCTAGCTTCAAGGAACTCACAGTAGTGGGTAATATAGGTAAGTAAATGGGATTAACATGTAGAGTGATGAGTGCACTAATGTGGTTCAGGGAACACTTAACCAGACTGGAGAATCCAGCATAGTTTCCATGGAGGAAGTCTCAACAAGGCCTTCAAATCTGCCTGGGTGTCCTGGCAGGAGCCAACCCTCCCTCTTTTATTGCCCATCACTTTTATTTTAAACCTCGTATTTCTAACTCTTCACCCTCAATATTAGCAGATTATCTTTTAATAATTTGTAGAAAAGACTGAAACCTTGAGATAAGAATTCCTAGAATTCTCCACCACGAAGCCTATTAATTTACCTGTACCTGCCTCCTCCCTTACTACTACTTTCTTGTGACAGTATAAAAGATGACAATCTTCCTGTAGCAAGTCAATTGCTCTATTTGGATACCATCCCTTCTTGCTTTCTCAGGGACCTCATGCCTTAAAGTTGTTTGTTCTTCACTCTCCTTAGCCTCTCCCTCTCTACTGAAGCCCTTCCCTGGTCTCAGTTACATCTGCCTGTTTATGACTCTCAAATCTCAAAAAAACCCCTACACGAGTCTTCCCTGAGCATCCCCCATACCCAGCACTTCCAGTCCTCCTTACTCTACTTTGCTTTTTTCTTTTTACCATATCCATTATTCCCTTCTAAACTAGTATATATTTATTATGGTTTTGGTTTATTGCCCATTTCCTTCCATTCAAATGTAAACTCATTAGGGGCATCAATCTTTGTCTGTTTCCTGAAGTATCTTCATCTCTTAGAACAGAATAAATATTTGTCAAATGCATGAATAAAAAATTATGTCTGTGTCCTGATGTCTGCTGGACATAGCTTGCTTGATGCCTCAAAGGCACCTCAAATGCCATGTGCCCCAAATTGAACTCCTAACTTGCTCCCTGACCCTCCACAGCAAATCCACAGAAAACTTCTCTAGTGCAGCAAATATGCTCATCAGCTACACACATGTCCTAGTCAGACACTTGGATGAAATTCTTCTCCATCTCTCTCCACCTCCAAATCAATCAACTTTCCAGTTTGTTGGTTCTCTCCTATTTATTTCTCACACATGGCCACTTTGTTTTCCCTCAACCATCATCACTCAGTTCACAATCCCCTCTTCCCCAGGACACTGCATCAACCTCCTCACTAGCTTCCTGTCTCCAGTCTTACTCCATTTGACTCCCTTTCTACAGCACAGGGGAATGTTTCTAAAACATCTGATCTGTCCCTTCCCTGCTTATAACCACTCAGTGGGTTGGCCCCTAGGGAAGATTTCAAACTGCTTTACATGGTTCACAAGGCCCTGAACTTGTTTATTCCCTGGTTTCATTTTTCTCTACTGCCCTTCTCCCAGCTTAAGCTCCAGCCTCAACAAATTTATTTTAATTTAACCGACAGCTCAGCTTTTCCCTTCTGCTTGGAACTATCTTTCCACCTCCCCCCGCCCATCCCACCACCCAGATAATGCAGATCAAAAGTTAGGTGTCATTTTCTCCAGGAAGCCTTCCCTGACCACACTTTCCATCCAGGTAACATGCTTCTTGTATGAGTTCTATAGCACTCTATGACTGACCCTATCATAGCACTATCACTCTCTTAGGAATGAAAGTGGAAGCTGTATGAGTATTGTCAGCTGTTGTATGTGAAGCATCTAGCAAAGTGCCAGACACAGAGTAGGGCTCAATAAATATTTGTTGAATGAATGAATAAAGTAATTGTCAAGCTATTGGGACATCCAAGTAGAGGCACCAAATAGGCAATTATATAGGAATTGAGGGAAAAAGAAGAGCTAAAGGGGAATTTGAGGTGTTTAGCTTATAGGTCACTAAATGGTCATGCCATTAAAGGGAGAAGGAAAAGGAACAGTTTAGCAGGAAGATGATGGGTTTATTTTGGATTTGCTGTTTAAAGTGACTGTGGGACATCAAGATGATGATACTTGGAGGGAAACTTTTATTTTTATTTATTTTTAATTTTTTAAAAGATTTTATTTATTTATTTGACAGAGACATGGCGAGAGAGGGAACACAAGCAGGGGGAGTGAGAGAGGGAGAAGTGGGACCCCCACGGAGCAGGGAGCCCGATGTGGGGCCTGATCCCAGGGCCCCGGGCTCTTGACCTGAGCCGAAGGCAGACGCCCAACGACTGAGCCACCCAGGTGCCCCAGAAGGAAGCTTTTAAAGCAGGCCTGACTTGTAGGAACAAATCAGGGCTGGAAATGTTCATTTAGGAATTAGTTGTGTTACATAATAGTGAAGCCAAAGGAATGGGAGTGTTCCTTCAAGGAGAGGAGGGTATAAAGGAAATGAGACAAACTAAAGAATGAATTGATCTTTAAAGAATTGAATGAAATGAATAGGAAGCTAGGAAAGGAGACTGAGGAAGAGTAGCTAAGGTAAGATGTTAAAAAGAAGGATGACAGCAATATCCAGGAAATCAAAGAAGACAAGAATTTGAAAAAGGAAACACTGGTCAGGAAAATAAAAAACTGCAGAGATGTTTAGCGGGATGGTTTCTCAGCTTCAGCATTGCTGACATTTGAGACTAGAAAATCCTTTGTTGCGGAAGGATATTCTGTGCCCAGTAGGGTGTTTAGCAGATCCTTTGCTCTACCCAGGAGATGCCAGTAGTCCCCTCCTCCAGTAACAACTAAAAATGTCAAATCCCCCTGAAATGACACAATAGACAATAAATGGTCATGAAATGAATGAATTTAGCCCAAATCAATACAGGTTGTTCCTGGTTGTATTGTCATTTAGTGTGCCTGAATTATCTTCATTGCTTGTCAGAATCCATTAAACAAAATAAGGCCCTGGTTCATTTCATATACAGTTATACTCTTGTCAACTCAATATGGAAGTCCTTTTTATCCTTGCTCTTGAGTGTATAGCAATTCAGTTTTCTAAGGTTTAGAATTATTTTTGTGTGTTTTTTTTTTTAAGTGAGAGAAGTCTGACATCATTACCTATGTTTCTGACAAAATGTAAACATTTTCCTAGTGTATAATCAACTTTTTGGTAACTAGGAGAGATGGACTAGAGATCGATATATAAATCTGTTTATGGGGGAGATTCCTGGCTAAGGTTTTACCACATCCCAAGATACATTAAAATACATTGAGAATTATTAAATTCTCAAGACCAAATTTGCATTAGAAAGAAAGCATTTAGGAATTTGGGATTAGAGATGTCACAAAATCAAATAAACACCTTGTACATAAATTTTTCACATACATTGGAGATGTAGATATTGACTTATACAAGTACAATATATATCAAGTATTTGTCTTGATAAAACACATTTAAAAAATAACATGGCACAGTTGCAAACTTTTATTTATATTTTAAAAAATGACTTACATCCTGGAAATATTGGGCAGATTTGAAAATGCAAGACTGGGAATGGTTTTCAGATGAGTCTCTGTAAACTTCCTGTGAAAATAACATTTACACAATTAGAGTTTTAATCATTGGATTTTTATAATAAATCATCTTAATTACAAACAATACATTATTAAAAGCATGCTGGTCCTTATGATATATATTTTATCATACATAATCAAGGAAAAACAAACATACAGTTTTCCCCCAACAAAACAAGAATTGAGAGTGAGATTCAAATGCAGAAAATAAAACTTCAAACATCATTTTTGAATTTGCAGTGAACTCGTATGCCTTGTTTGACATCATATTCAAATTATTAACTGGAGGCCAATATAACATATTCATAAGTTTATTAGGACTACTGAATACACATCATGCACATGTCAATGGAAATGTCTTGGAACGCCATTGGAATATATATGAAGAGCATATTAAGAGCATTAAATGCATGTGATATATCTTGAAGATTAAAAATAGTGGTATGGTTACAATCTTTTTGTCCAACCAAAGATCTCTTCAGTCATTACCTTGAGCTTATCATCTACTTGCTACAGTTTGGAAATAACTGACTGACAAGGAGCTAATTCTCTTGTGACATCTTTATTGCATATGCAACTTAAAGGTTGTGGCTTTTCTTCCAGTTTGCTTTTTTGGATACTTTTCAGAAGGCCGAGATTATTTTCCTTATAGGTAATAAGACATCTTCATGCATTTCAGGATGTCTGTCCACCAAGATGTTCCTTTTTTTTTTTTTTTTTAAGATTTTATTTATTTATTTGTCAGAGAGAGAGAGAAAGAAAGGGAGAGCACAAGCAGGGGGAATGGCAGGCAGAGGGAGAAACTCCCCACTAAGCAAGCAACCCAATGCAGGACTCCATCCCAGGACCCTGGGATCATGACCTGAGCTGAAGGCAGACGCTTAACCAACTGAGCCACCCAGGCATCCCGAGTTGTTCCATTTTTGACTTCCTTTTTTTGATATTGCAACTGCTTGATAGAATCCTGTAGGGAAGAAGGTGTCCCAACTCACTTTGCAAAAAAACAATGCCTCACTACACTTACCATCTTCTTCATGGGTCTGTTTTTGCCATATAAATATGAGTAATCACATATCACCCATTTACTACCTTATTTAAAGATATTAGACTAAAATTGTGTGTTTCCGTTCTAGGCTGCAGCGTTTTTTTTCTCAACAATCTATTTCCTTGATCTCTGAATTCTTTGAACTATTAATTTTTGCAGTCATTGAAATGCATTTGGAACTTCTGGTTTCTGGTTCTGGAAGCCTGGAAGTCACTTCTCCCTCTTAACAATAAGTAAAAAGCTGAACAGATTGAACAGACTGAAAACTCAACAACTATTCTAGGAGAAGGGAAGACACAGGGCAAACTGCTCTTCCCAAGACAGCCAGGCAAATGAAGGTAGTCCCCGACTCCCAGAACAGAGACTGATGTGTGGAAACCACAGGGAGAACCAGTGTCAGGGTAGGAAACCTATACTGGGATTGATGAATTGCTGGAGGCACAGTGCTGATAAATTTCCAGGGGGACCTGGTCATAGGGAGACCTCCACAATTTTGTAAGATTTACCTCCAGGAGCTCAAACAGGTTCTAATGGTAAGCATTAGGAAAAAAAAAAAATATCCCCTTGATGTTTCTGGCAAAGGGAGGGGAAAAGGAAACATTTGGAAATATACCAGAGCACACAGTTCTTACCAAGGGCTGCCCTCAGGGGACACTATTAACTGGAGCCTGACCTGGGAACAGTCCTGTGCTACTAAGGGGAGAGAAAAAAAAAACTGAGAAACACTGGTAAAGTTCAGAGTCTGGAGGCACAGGCTCACTAAAAGACTGAGACCTAATCACAAGACTATAGAACACTTCCCCTCCCCCAACACCTCACCGTCACATTACTAATGGCCTTATATTTATAGCAGTTCCTTTTACCCAGTATATCATGTCTGTCTATCAAGAAATATATCTGCCTAATCGATGCATCAGCAGGACCAAATTAGTTTATCACAGGATCTATTAACTTGGGGGAGGGGAGGTGATGTGAATGACAAAAGGGTAAATTGTTAGCTCTTGGTGTTTCAGCATGAAGCCCAATGCTGCCTTAATGTTTTCAAAAATTTAAGTCCCATAAATTACCCACCCTTCCTCATAGGTCTCCCACTTACATTCCCTTAATTGGATTGATTAAAAGCTGTTGGTCCAGATCCAAGATTCTGAAGTTAAAAAAAAAAAAAAATGAGAACAACAAATCATTCGATTAAAATCTCCCAGGAAAATTGGGCCATGCCAAAGGAAAACAAAGGATAAGATAAACACCTGTTGGGTATCACCCAAGGAGATTGAGTTTCTCAAGCTCAAAGGTAGTCCTATGTATAGAGCATGTCCTAAGGCATGGATCTTGAGGGCATACTTATCATAAGGCGCACATACTAGGTAAATGTGGACCTAATTTGTAACTTTCATTGGCTAAAAATTGAAGGGTTTATTTGTGTTCAGAAGAAAATGACATATTTAGAAAATTAATGTAAGTTTACAATGGTATCTAAGAAGTCTGACTTAGAACAGAAATCCATCTAAATGCAATTTAATAGACTTTGAGTAAAAGATTCAAGATTCAAATAATGTTTATATCCTTTCCCAATGTATGAATTTCTGAAATATATAATTCATGTTTCTTGAATTCTCTCTGTCACACACATATAAACACATACACACTTAAATTTTTAACAAAGATCTTTTCCCTACTACTGATTAAGTTACATTTAATGGAGTTCAGGGCACACTATCCCAAAACATGGTAACTTAGCATACTGAACATTTTAAGCTGGAGGAATTTGAGAAACAGCAGGTGTAGGAAGGACTCTCTGATCCCTCTTCTTCTCTGAAACAAGTCATAAGACCCTCTTGTGAGAGGTGCCCTGACTATAGCCTTATCTCTGAAAATACCAAAGGAACCTGAATGAACAAACCTTGCTAAGCTTCCTTCAGTTCATTACACTTAGTTCATACCCTTTGGTTCTATCACTATGACTTTCCATTCTTCCTCAAACCAGCATAAAAATGCTCAGGTTTAATCACTTCTTTAGGTCTTCATTTCTTTATGAAGGCTTTTGTGACACATGAAAAAATTATATTAAGTAAATTTTTATGTTTTTCTCTTGTTAATCTGTCTTTTGTTACAAAGCCCCAGCTGAGGAACTAGAAGGGTAGAAGGAAAAACATACTATTTTCCTCCCCTACAGTTTCTGGTGATGGGGATTGGATAATAAAAGGCTGGGATACGCCACTCACCTTGGACACTGAAGCAGAGGTCTGGGACAAATGACAGAAAGCCAGTAGAAGGTAAGAATTCTTAACATGTCAGTTTCCTAGATCTCTGTCTTAGTGCTTAGTCGAGAGAGGAATGTAAATATTTCTCCTTGCCCTTTCCTTTCCAAATTCAGGTTAGCAGGAAATAATATTTGTAAGAATTAGTTCTTTGGACTGTGACCCTTGTGAGTTTAGTTTTGAGTACCCATTGTATATTGATCCTTTCCCTCCAGGGACAGGTATTGCTTTCCTGTTTGTTTGGGTTTTTTGTTTTGTTTTGTTTTGTATCCTGAGAGCCTTGCTTGGCTTTTTACCTGCCAGGATATGCAGGTCATTGGTTACCTTTTAAGAAAGTTGCCTAGGAAACAAAGATTCTGTGTTTTATCAAAATAATTTCTTGTGCTTCATGTTGTCTTTATTAAGTCTTTTTATTACTTAAGAAAATCTAACCTTCTTAATATTAAAAGAGTGGAGGGTTTTGTTCACAACTGTGTAACCATCTGTATTTGCCTTTAAAATGCTTTATCGTCACTCTGGCTAAATAGATGACCAGGATCTTATTTAATTAAGTGTTCAAATCTTTTGACATATTTGACAAATTTCCCAAAATCAAATTCTAAATAAAGTCTTTTCTAACTTTGAACTAACTTTGAGCTTTTCCAGAGGATCCCTGCAAAGCAGACTTAAAAAGAGCCTATATATCCAATTGTCTTTTCTTGTTGCACTTGTATAAATAATTAGGCCAAGTTTAATAAGACTAGATTTATTTTTGCAAATAAAAATAGTCTTGGATTGTCTTTGGTAGAAATGGAGGTGACTGTAGAAAAATGTTGTTTCAGTGAAAAAGTATTACCTGCCGTTGTGAATGTTCATTATCTTTGAACTATTTTTCATCTTCTTGTAAATTGGATCCCGCCGTTTTTGCATTTTGTCAGTTGTTAATGTATCCAATGTTTTTCCCACCTTCCTGACTTCGCATCACCAGAAATAAAAACTACCTATTTCCCAAAGTCCTATAAGCTGAAGCTGGATGATGATAAAAACTTTTAGGGAATCACAATAACAGATCATGTATGGGCACTCTTTGTACCTATGGCTGTTTAGGTCACCCAAAAATTTCACCAGAATGTCCAATGCTATCACCAGAGATACTCAAACTACAAACCCAAAATTTTATCAGTCGTTACTGCCTGTCCTTACTACCTTACCCAACATCTAGAAATCTTGACTAACTGCCCTCTGGATTCAAAAACTGAATTTATAGTTTGTTGGAACCATTAACTTTTGTTTTACTTTTATTTCCTCAGAAATGTCCCTCCTTAAATGCCTGATTATTAATACCATTAGCCTAACTTGGGTGGGTACTCTTACTCTCACACATATCACCATCTTCTGAAATGGAACAACTCTTTAGGACTGACCTATTCCTAGGATTGAGGGACTGGTTCACTGGGATATGGGATGATCTATCAACTAAGTTTCTGGACTGTCAAACTTCTTGGGGAAAATTTCAGACGGGAGAATAATGGGGTTCAGAATATATTACCCCAAAATATGATACCTTGGCCTATTTAATATTTTAAGCTGGAGGGATTTGAGAAACAGCAGGTTCAGGAAGAACTCTCTGACCCCCCTCTCCCTGCTGAAGCAGGTCATTAAGACTCTCATATGAGAGGTGCCCTCCCTGTATCCAGAGGAAAGGAGCAACCTTATTTCTGAAGACAG